TATATATATATATATATATATATATATATAGTCTCTCTGTAAGTAGTGATTTATGTTCCATCACATCCTTCCTTCCCATTGCTAGCAACTTGGTGTGTTCTTAACTTTGATTTTTACTGGTAGGGTTCTAATAATATCTTTATTACCAGTCTCGTAGAGATCATTTTGAAATGTAAGAACAATAAACTAGTATTTATTATACTATTGGTATCAGCAGAGACTACTACTGTTTGCGATACTGTTTTAAAAACTTCCAGGTTTTGGAAAGCCTACCAAGTAAGATACTACGCACATCTCAAAATATCAGTAAAACTGAGCGTCATCATTTGGTCGCATTTTTAATGGATAATGAACTTGATGCATTTGCCATACCTGAAGCACTGGTTTCGGAAGTAAAGCGCAGTCTCTCGTTACCACATGAAATGGTTGATTTTAGTTTGCTAAACAGGGATATATGTTATGTTGATCTGTAAAATGTATGTTGATCCAAATGTATGTTGTTTGTAGGTTGTCAAGAAATCATCTGTGACTCCACAATATATTATTGACGAACCGTCAAGTGCAGAACGTCTCAAACAGCACTTTTGTGAACCAATTAAGGTGGAAGAATACGAATCACAAAAAAAGGATGTCAAGAGCCATTTGTTATCTTTACTGGAAAGTATATTAACTGATGAGAATCTTTCACTTACTGAACGGAAACAACGTCTTAAGAAGGTATATGATTTAACATAAATCTAGAAACACATGTCTTTTCAGTCATTTTACTAGAACTCTCCCTAGATCTATTTCAGTTTAAAAAAACGTATCCTGAGATCTACGCCCAGAAATTCCCATCTCCTGCTTTACAGAAGACTCGACTTATCGACCGAATCAGAAACTTCCATCTTTAATTTTAAATCACTAAGATTACACGAGAAAAATTTATATGTATATAATGAATTCACGACGGTTATTAGGCCAAAATGCAAATCAGCACCTAATAATAGTAGATGCTGTTATTGCAATCTTTAAATTTGCGATATTTAGTTTCGCATTGCATGAAATTTTTTGCTCTGATTTTCATTTTACTGATCATTTGCAGAAAATGACTACTACATGCGGTTAAATTAAAAAATTTATTCCCAACACAGTTATCATTGTCATTATGAGTATTTATGCATAAAACTTGAAATAATGAAGTCGATAATACTCATTCCTATTGGACAAATTACTACATTCAAAAAACGCCGCTATAAAAAAAAAGCTTTACCAATTTCAAATTAATTAGCCTCTACAGTAGACTATATAACTAAGCGCAATACACAGTATTTGTCTCGTTGATCCAGTTAATTATATATGATTGAGATAATGGCGGCGATAAAATACTTCAGAACAACAAAACAACAATAAGTAATGTAGGGGCGGTAAAGAAATTACGAAGAGTTAATATGATGCACTGGACATAGCAGGTAACTCCTTAAGCTTTCGATTCACCTACAAAGAGGTTTGCTTGGAGTTGTATTTCGAAAAGTTTAAGATTCTTCATAAGGAGATTGAGCAACTACTAACCTCTTGAAGTTTCTGAATTTGTCTGATGAAGTACTCCCCAATCCGTCGTGCAACTTTAGTATCCGCAATTATAATCATATCCTGAAAACAATTTCCCTCTGGCTCATTTTTCTGACTAAAATACCATAAACTGCGGCACCTGACAGAAAGGAAAATCATTTGTAACCTTGTCAACGTAAAAATCAAGATCTGTCGTAGAATCATCAATCTCACATCGATCAACAGATTCCTTCCCAAGTTCATTAACAATCATCTTGAAGCTCAAGAGTTTTCCAACAAACGAATCATAGTCCGCATCTGTAATCAACACTCATTTTAAAAATGTCCACTATATCAGCTACAAATTATGTGATCCTCGAATCACTTCAAGCACAATTTCTAAAATGAATTAATATACGCCATAAACTGAAATTTCCTAGACGTATGTCATACATCGATAAAGAAACAATAAAAAAATTTGTTTCTTCTCACAACGTAAAACACCTATTCCTACAAGCAACTTAAATATAGAGAATATTAAATACGAACTCACCACTCACATCCATGAAACTGGCAAGTTTTTTTGTAGGTAGCGTTGTGTACAACTTCAAATAACCTCTCAAAATTGGTAGCATAATTTGTGATTCAATCCCTTCCAAAAAAGCATTGCACTGACGAACCAAAGGTTCCTAGAAAATGGAAAAAATTATCAAGTTTTCGTAACTATATACTTTTGAGAAAAACCTACATTCAAAATAGTTACAGAGATAACGTAACATTGATTTTTGATACAAGATTGTGCATACTAAAAATAATAACATGAAACAGCAATGTACGAAACCGAACTTTGGCTTGATTCAGCCCTTCATATATTACTGTCGTTGGAGATAGGAATTTTGGACACCCTTGTTGAAAAGCAATGCGAAATTCATCAACATCTCTGCAGTTAGAAAATAATGCACGCACTGACATAATATATCTATGACTGGAATAATTTTCCATTCAGTGTTTAATATCATGAAAATTTCAATTAAAATTTCGTGAGCTCTATTAAAGTACAACCGACCTGGAGTTACAGGAACAATGAAAGTGTATAAGGTGAGATTAGAATAAAGCAATTGACTTCTCTGTCAATTTAAAAGCGCAAACATTTAAACACCACAAATACCAACCCATTACTCATGTGATTCATACGATCCCCAGTTCTTTCAAATAACTGTGATTGGATAGAGTCATCAATACGTTGAGGCTGCAACGTCAAACAAATCGCCAAAAGATGATACAACTGTTCATTAGTTTTACCGATCTACAAAATATTATAGACATGAAAATCATTACATATTGTCTGAAAATTTTGCATTGATTTAAAAAGAAATGAAAAATTACAAAGCAAAAGTTATGCAAATAAGCAATAACAGTGAAGACAAATTACGTAGACAGGCTACTTTATTCTTTCTGAGCCATTGAATAGAACAAACGGAGCTGAGTAACGCAAATTAAGAGGTCATAAGTTATTTGATAGTATTTTAATATAGAATGATCATGAGCGCCCTGAAAAGAAAAGATGACAGTCGCTTCAAGTAAACATCTACCACATCATATTGGAAATTCTTTTTCTGTAATTGATTTTGCTGTTGGATATTTTTGGTCCGTTGAATATAAAGTAGACAGTTTACAAAGATTTTCGTAGCTTCACCATAATTTCGCATCATCATATGGGAGAAACCAACAAAATAATGCAGCGTAACCAAGCAGGAAGGAACAGTATTGTATAAACCCTACAAAAGTATATAAAATAAGCAACAACACTAAACCACCATTTAAGCCATAGGAAATTCTATATTCTAATGCCTTATTCCTCCTAACTTATATGAGTATTTTATTTTCAGCTAATAACATTTAAAAAAGTATTCAGAATAACACAGCACATAATTTGTAATAATAGCGAAAGTTTGATCTAAAAGACGAAAAATTTCATTCTCACTTATTTCACTGAAAAATCAGTAATATGAATTAATAAATGCTGATTCAGTAACAATTAAAAGAATACTGTTTTTATATTTCTGATTCAAAAAAAAGTTAAAAATATATAAATCATACCTTTGGATCTAACTCGAGATTTTCAACAGTTTTTAACGCCTGATGATAATCCCCAAGCAAGACATGAGTGCGCAGCAATCCAATAAGAGAAAAATAACCGAGCTTAAAATATAAAGCTGAACGACCAAATTCGTCCGCTACATCATCTGGATTTCCTAATATTTCTAGCGATAGAAATCTCAACACAAACGATGCTAGTAATTGCAATGAATAATAATATCTAACATCATGAATCTTAATTTAAGGCAGGCATCGAAATGAGTAACTTTTACGTCATATAACACTAAAAAGTTTCTACAAAATTGAAAATTTAGACTATACAGAATTGAGCAAATATAAAAACAGTATTCTGTTTCGCAGAAGGTCTATTTAATTCAAACAACTCACTTCCTTCTCGAATAGCTAATAGTTGTTCATCGATTTGCGACTTTGCTAACAGAGAATATAAAATATTCAGGACTGGATAAATGTTCCAAGCCTGAAATGTGAGAGTATGCTAAAAAATTTATAAAATGAATTAAACTAATTTGCAGGCTGAATAATAGTGACAATAGTACGTACACTTTGATTCTGTTCAATGGACAGTAGATCTTCGTACTCTTCTGGATTTCTTTTTCCCGGATTAGCTTTATATAAGCAGAAAGCTTGAAACTAAAATACACGAATACTTTTGTATAGAAATGTTAGACTTGGGCTCTCGCTATTTATTTTTGAAAAAAAGGTGTGATATATACAACCAAATACAAGTGTCAAACATGACTGAATTAAGACCTGATAAACGAATTCATCAATAATATCCCAAAGCCAAATGTTTGGAAGTTGAAGTGATAGCGGTTGTTCTTCAGGAGTCAATATCTCACAAAACAATTCCTGTAACAGCAAAATGAAAAAATAAGTGCTTGAAGAATTTAAATATTAGGTAAAGAATTAATGACAAGTACATACTTGATAATTTTGATATGAATCAAAACGATGTGCCAAAGAAGGACCACGCTGCATCCTTGCATACACATGACGAAAGTACAACTCTTTATAGAGAATAATAAACACTCGATTGTCTAAATTGGAATATTTGTACTTTAACTGAAATTATTCAAATATATGATTAACCTGTGCACCTAAAAACTGTTTGACGCACGAACTGACTTACCATACTGGAAGCGATTTGCTTTTACGTCAATAAAACACAGCAATTCAAGAAACCTGCTGACAAATGCCCGCAAAACACAATGATATGTTCTAGAATAGATTTTAAAATACTTCAATTATCAAAGATATTTCTTACTAGATAAAGTCTCAACAAACCTGATCCCACTACGCTTTCTACTGCCTCTTCGTTTGGCCACATACGTTGCTGAAAATAACGATCGGTAAGGTCGGGAAATCCATGTTCATAAAGATTATGTATTTCTGCTACATTCCCTTCTTCAATCATTCGTTTGAAATAGATTAAATACTGCGCTACATCATCAGGAATCAGTCTATCGCTTGAAGTATCTAAAAACATTTCCTACAAAAAGTGCGAAAGAAAAACAAGGTAAAAAAACATACATATACATACTTTAAGACATCTTACATCTTCTTACTGTTTCACAGTAATAGCGATTCAATAAACCACTGCATATGTTAGGATCATTACAAATTCCAGCGGTAAGTATTTGCAATATAGCCATGTACAAATGATGCAAAGAGATCACATAAAATTTAATGTACGATATGTCAAGCTTTTCAAAATCAAAAAAATGAATTCGCTAACTCAATTTGCTTTCCTCATAGTGCTTTATTATGAAAACAAAACCATTCAACGAGTTTTTTCAGTTGCTCAAAGAGTAACTAATAAATGCAAAAATTCATGTTGCCTAACCTCGTCTCAAATGTTCTCTTTCATAAGCAAGGTCACGTTCTGGATCACCTGTATGTCCACCATCAAATGAATCACGAACCATCTAGATAGATCCTGTATAGAATAACTGCATTGTGACCAAATATAGATTATTCTAATCAAGGTAATGCGACAAGCAAAACACTATACACGCAAATGCAGTAAAAGCAATACTTCCTCAGTTTATGATCATTTAAAAATAGAAAGTGAAACTGCTACAATCAATAAAAAAGCAGATTCACATGAAACCAAATAGCTCCAAAAGTTTATGGAGACCTCTTGAAATTTGCGGTTCGGAAAATCTATACTGACTATGAAGATCGGGTACAGCCATACTTTTTCTTCATTTATAATTATACAGAAATGAGATACTGATAAATGAAGAGAACAATTTGTTTAAAAATAGCCAAAAGTTCTTTGAAAAATTCTTTTAACATATGACGAGAATATATGAGACAAACATAAATGACAGTAGCTTAACGAATATCATAATTGATAAGTTGCATTCATTCCCTTACAATAACCAATTCCCAGCCATCATGACAATCAAAAACTTTAAATGAGCGAAAGACAGCTTGCAAGACGAAATAAACATGGAATCATATATTTTAAACTACAGTGCAAAATCGCAAATAACGAGCAAACTGAAGTGAAATAAAAACGCTCATCGAACACGAGTGACCACCAAAAAACATTTTAACAGATAAATTTAATACAATGCACAACAGAGACAAAAGTCAGAGTTTTATTAATCAGATATATTAAATAATTTGCAATAACACTGCCACAATAAATAGATGGCCTGACACAATATTGCAGGAGCACTATTACGACATAATTTGACACCAGTTTAAATTATAAACACCGTATTTCTAGCATAGCAATTCAGTGTGTCAAATCAAGAAGTTATTTTCATTATAATATGGAAAAAAAAAAACATCTGTGCAAGATCAACAACATATTTATGAGTAATTTTAAGCGGAAATTCCTTTTGATATTAAGTCAAATTCTTTGCCAGTCTGAATTGTTCATGCATATAAATCCGGTAAAGTCAAAGTTATATATATATTATAATTGACCACATCAACCACATATTTAAACTTAAAAAGTAACTTCCGGAAAAAGCAATGAGCATAAGCACCATGTGGTACAAGCAACTTTATTCCCTTACAAAATATTAACTTATGTTACTGAAAACAAATTATGAAGAGTTTTAAACGAAGGCAGTGACTGAACACATCTGGTGAAGAAACTGTTTGCCAGTAGTTAAGCAAGAAGGAGCGCACTCTCAACATGCAACGTTTCATTCAAATCACAGTAGTTTCAGCTGAAAACAATAATTTGCTCATTTTCAGATATATTTTTCAGTCATTGAGATGATGCTAATGCCTGATCGTCCAATCAATTTAATTTTTATAACCGAATTTCAGCACTCAAAAAAAAAATTATTGCAGATATAAAAGTTGATTAAACGCAAACCATCACAAAAAACTTTGATATTCTAGACACATTATTTGATATTTGCCGTGATTTCGTTTCAAGTCTACTAGATGTCAGTGATGTAAAAAATCTACAAATATATGGATCACATTAGAGAAGCAACCAATAAAAATTTAATAAAATAAACTGGAACAACAAAGAACTGTGATGATTCTTTGAAACACTAGAGCTGATACAATGGACACACACATACGAAGTAGTACATAGGCACTAGCCTTGCACAACCACACCAGAATCTTCTTTTCCACGCATTCGCGGTTTTCCCGTAGTGAAAGGAATATAGCGATACTTTATCATGTGCTGAAAAAATGATTCCTTATTAGTTTTTATAAACCAATACTAACAGCTAAATAATCCCGCAATTTGATTAGAAGTTGACCATAAACTTTTAACGCAGATAAAACAGAACTTATTTCAGGCACATGAACAGTTAGATTTAATATATTTGTCTCAAAGTTCAGAAATAAAAAAAAGTCACATAATTGAAGAAAAACCGACACATAACAACATTATAATTTAACTTGAGACCGATAGTATTTTAGAATTTACTTGCATTCCTCGTTTTTTAGAATCCATGGTATTCTATCAACTAAATTGCATATAATATTAAAAGATGAGGAATACGAATAAAATATACCAAGTTACAGAATCCTGTTACAAAATGATACTTACCATTATTTGGCGTTTCATGGTTAGACATGTTAACACAATAAAATACATCACGAGTATCGGCCAAAACACTGGAACGTTGAATATCTCAAAAAATGTGCATGTAAATGCAATGATAGTTGCCTTGACAGTTGAATACCTGTAGATGAAAAGTTTATCATCAAAACTGCTCTAATTAATTAAGTTTCAGATATTGAACTTCACTGATCTGCCTCGAATTTTCTCATTATGAATGAACAATCTACATCAAATGAATACAAAAACCTCCTTATACATGAAATCTCTCAACAAAATTCAACTCGTTGAAGTCAAAGTTATATATATATTATAAATTTTTGGTAATGGTTAAAATCCCCTGTAGGGGCACAATCAAATAACTGCACACAAGAACAAAAAAAAAAATTAGATTTTTGAACATGCCAAAACTTGAATTCTGGTAAACGTCGCATGAATGGGCGGAATTCTTCGTTTCCCTTGGACGGCAACGTTGGTCCGTCCTCATCTTAATTAAGTTATGTAGTGAATGTCCTATTTTATTTTTATAAAACAAAACGTTGAATATTGTTTACGACAAATATTTAATAAAATTTTACGCCAACGGATAATATTTCAAAACTCTTGCAGACATATTTATAAATTTTGGCAGACATATTTTCATCTAATTACAGCTGAATACTATGTCTGAAAAACAGATATACCTTCACTGTCGAAATCCAATGCCGGATCTATTTTTGGAGTTAGAAACGCAAGGAACAAATTTAAATAATAAATTCCAAGTGCATATGTAACAATGTAGAAACCCTTAACAAAGCTTTAAGTAAAAAACAAAAAAACAAAAATTGTTTATAAATTGCTTCTATTATCATTCAATGATTTATTCGATAAAAATCTATTCTTATTAGAAATTAAGGAATCATCTAATATGCATCAAAGTGCAGCAACTTTCATTATTTTACTTATGTCAACTAGAAAAATTTCAGAGATAAACTATGATAGAACTGACCTGTATTTCGATGATCCGCCATAAAAACAAAATTATGAATGCAATAGCGATTCCCCATCGAACAGAACCATAAGGAGTTAATTTATCCAAATAATACTGGTATTTCTAAAGTCACAAATAATTAGTAAAATAACCCAAATGGTAAATACTTCACCTACTTATTAATTAATTACACTGAAAATTTTCACTTAAAAACTTCTGTGCAATCAAAGACATGGTTAATTTTAGTAACAGAATTACATGATGAAATAGTTTAGAAATTCAAAAAAATAAACGGTAAAAAGACTAGAAGTAGTGTAGATGACATAAAAACTAAGATATATTTTGAAAAAGAATGAGTTGTTGGTTAAAGCTTAATTATTTTGCACTCATTACATATAAAATAATCAAGAATGCAAAACACAACTCTATCATGTAAACACTTAAGGGTAACTTGAAGTATATAACTTTAGCACTATTTTAGATAGCTATTTATGTAAATTTTTGGATTCCAATTGAAAAAAAAAAACTGTACGGCTAAGATTTACCACTGTTAGGCTTGAGAAGAAACGTGATATAATACTAGGCCGATCGCGGAGGTCACTAGAATCCTCCATTAGACCAGAGAACTTTGATGATATATCTAAAATAAACATACATCTGCACTCTTAAAATGTGCTTAAAAGTGGCGAAAATGTTCACATATTATCATGTACACCTATTCTTCCATCCACTACATTACATGTTAGAATAAGCTTTCCACAATATCCACATGTTCTATGCTTGCTCACATTTTTTGCATTCAAGCAACAACGCTACTTAAATGTTCAAAATATGATTCAGATGCGTTGCTTGAGAATTTAGTCTTAATAACTAAATTTTATATTTAAGCAAATTTACAACCAAAATTGCGAAAACAGAGTGATATAATAATAACAACATAACGAAATTCTTAGTTTCACACATGAAGACATATAAATATGATCACTATGACAAATTCATGAAGAGATTTACTCTTTATTTTAAAGATTTACAATACTTTCAAGTATTCTAAAAAGCAAAACTCGTCATCTTAAATCAACATTCCTTACCCATTTCCTGCACCAAAAATTAGAAGACTAATGTCAAGAACTGACTCAGCTATGTCCTTACTTATGACATAAATAGAACGAAAATGATACTTCAGAAAATAAATAAAAGAATCACAATTAAATCAACCCGATACCCATTACATCCTTGCAGCATCTTTTATTTTAGCAACTTTGATTTATCAAATGAGCGATTTCTCGCAAGTTCTCGCAATTTCTAGCAATTTCTGGCAATTTCTCGCAATTTGGCACTTAACCAATTATGCAGATTTTTCATTGAAATTCAAACAGTATTTGGCGTGGAGTTGTAGTGTTTATTTCTATTTTGTTAATGATTAGTGAGTGGGTGGGTTGTTTAAGTGGAGTTTAGTATTTGGTATCTGAATTTGAGTAAGAAGTTTGATTTTGTCATGAAATGAATATTCGGTTGCGGAATTTGAAATCTATTTAGATCCCATGTCTGAAATAGGAACTTTTTATGTATTTGATCATGATTAGAGCTTTTTACTCATGTTGGTAATTATATTATTCTAGCATGTATATTGGTATTGATGCTAACAATTTTGGCATATAATTTAATGACAGGTAAATACTATCTGAAAAATAGATGCTTTGGCAACATTCAATGATTATACTTCATGATTATTTTTCAGTGCATTATTGAGTAACTCTTCATGATTTGTTGATCATCAAATATTAACTGATGTTATTTTCAGTAAGAGGAGTTATTCATGGAACCATCATTTACGGAGGATGATTATGATCCAAAGTACGTTGGATACTTTTTCATTCTCTTTTCGGGATTGGCTGCTTCGATTATTGCTTTGCTAGTTTGGACTAAATGGGATACAAATAAAAGAAAAAAATGCGAAAAACGAGGTTTAGTTTTTATGCTCATTTAATAATCACTTGTTTATTACTGAAATAATGCCTGACGTCGATTGGAGACAATATACTTCAACATTTTATTGCCCCAAAAGTTATTCCTTATAGTTAAATTCTTTGTTGCAGAAAGTTTCATTATTAGACATAGTAAGATCACTAAAAAACTAGTTCAACAGCGGTAATAAGAGGGATTGTCTTGAAGTGTGATGCTGAATTTTCGGTTAATAGACGTAATGGCTCTTTGCAATAAATTACATTTCCATTTTGCACTTTTTCCCGTTTGAAATCACTACTGTTAGCTGAATCACTAATGAGATCATTATTTTTTGCAAAATCATCAAGTTTGACTCCAATGGTTTAGATTCAGTCGACTCAGATCCGAATATAGAAGGTAACAATGGTAAACCAAAAGATTTCATTCGCAAAGATATACAGAAACTAAAGAAGTGGAATTTCGACAAGGTTAATTTATATGGTTTTAATTACGGTAAACTAAAAAGGATAAAAAGGAGTCGGCAAAATTTTTAAAAGAATAAAATTAACCACTCATGAATCATTACTATAGACAGTGAAGGATTGATGAGCATTTCAGTAGAATTTTTTTGGGTGTATTGAATTATCTCATAGTCGAAAAGAAGAGAACAGTTGAATTTTTTAGACGCGAACACCTCAGTTTGAGCATCCTTGGCTTTACACAACATTGAAAGGGCATGTTAATCATGTGATGGATATGGATTTTTCGTCGAATGGTAGATATCTTGTTTCCGTCAGCGGAGATCGTTCGCTTTATCTTTGGCATGTGAAAGTAAAGTCTTTCATCTTAGTCTAAAATTTAGAAACAATATATTTCTTGAAAATAGTTCAGTAGCGATCAATCTACTACTTTTCATTATGAAGTTTATTGTTAAATTTCTCCAAAAATTGTTCCAGAACTAGCCTATATATATATATCTATGTTATGAATATTATAGTCTGTCATGTTATTTAACTTTTCAAATATTTCAGTGTATTTCTTTTTTGTTTTGAAATGCTTTTTGTAGGATTTCGGTAATCGGGAGCATAAGGTCGATCGCTGTAGCGTTGAAGTAGACAGTGCAAGCCACGTCGCTTTTGCATCTGACTCGAAAAACGTTATCATGAGTCTCAAAATCGCAAATAAGGTGTCTCTCTTTCATTTATTCGCTTTTAAAAATCTAGTCGAAAAATGCATTTGGTAATTTTGTGTCCTTTAATTTTTTTAGCTCGATGTTTACAAAAAATCGCGTAAAGAAGGCACGCAAAACTACAAATTTTCACGTGTTGAAAGTGTTAATTTTCCCGTTGTACACGAAAACGATATCATTAGTGTTGGGATTTCTTGTAATGGTAAGTGCGATACAGAATTAAATTTGAGCTTCCAAAAGGAATAAAATGAAATTGCTGCTAATGTTTCAGACTAATAATCAATCACCTGTTTGAAAATGCTACAAAATAAAATTTTTTTCAGTGTGTAGTCGTTAAAAATGTACAGCATGAAAAGAAGCAAGTGATATTATAGGAATAAAAAAATATTAGTTAAAAAATAATATGCAAAACTATTATAAAATCAGATTTCTTTTCGGTTTGCGAATAGAAAAGATCAAGTTCACTGAAGAAGGTGATAGGTTCATACCACTTTTTATTTCCATGAATCTGAAATCTTGAAAACTAAATCAGTTTCTTAAATTTTGTTTTATCAAACTTTGTGGTTTTTTCTGTCGTAATCTTCAAACTTGTTTTCTAAGATACTAGTCAAGTGATATAAAGTGAGATCTTCATGGTAGTTTTTTCCTAGGAAAGTTTGCGATGTCGGCATCATTCGATAGCCAACTTGTAATCTACACTATTTATGGCAACATTCTAAAAAAAGTGCAGCCAAAACTAAATATCTTATATGAAGCAAGCATCTCACCTTGTGGTCGTTTTGTTGCTGCAAGTGGCTTCACTCCTGATGTCTTTGTTTTCGAAGTTTGTTGATGTGTAATTTATGTATAGCTCCAGTTATAGAAATTTCATAAAATTTTAAGGCCTGTTGCAGGTATTACTTGATCGTCACGGAAACTTTCAAGATCTAAAGAAAGTTTTTGATTTAAAGGTTTGTCATTCATATCAGTTTTAATTTTGAAATCAGTACTGATTGCGTTTCTGACTGTTTTATGATTTGTCTTTGTTTATAAAGATCTCTGCTGAAGTCAGCATAGTGAATGAAACTGTCAAAATTGTAAAGGAGCCATGTTTTACAAAGTACTGTTTTTTATGCTTTCTCTTTTTCATGATTTTGCCTTTAAATGGTGGAATACTTTTTACGCACGCTAAAATGCATAGTTTCAGGGACACAGTTCTGGTATTTACTCCTTTTCTTTCAATCAGAGCTCTACACGATGTGTTACAGCATCAAAGGATGGAACGTGGAATTTGTACGATACGGATGTGCGTTATAACTTGGGGGAAGATACCAAAATTATTGCTAGGTTTGTAATGATATGTTGAATTTCTAGCATTTGAATAAAATCTTATATATAATTATTTTGCAGTGGTGAGTTTGAAGTGCTCAAACGTGCTCAACCGGATTCGGTGAAAGTGGTAATGAGTCCATCTGGAAACAGTTTTGCTATATCTACAAATCGTCACATTTGTTTTTTCAGCGCTGTAAAACCGGAGAAACAATTCAAAATGAGTATGTTTTGGAGTGTTTTGAAAAACTTGAATTAGAAATATACAATTCGGTACCTTTTCATGTTTTTGTACATCTTTAGTTATTCACTTTCCTCAGTATTTAAAATTTTCGTATACTTTTATTTGTATATCTTTGAACAGATGAAATTATTACATCTGTAAGATGATTTTGAATCGTTATTAAAACTTTCATGCTTTGCGAATATTTGCTATATTGTTCTGTTCAGTATTGGATGTACACGATCGACCAATCACTAGTTTACGGATGAGTCCATGCGGAAAATATGTTGCAAGCAGTGGCGATCGATATATTAGAGTCTTTCGTAATGTCGCTGAATTTTATAGCAATGTAATATCGTTGGAAAAGGATTTGAAAGCAACACGTGTAGAAGGGCGAAAGCGGCGTCTAGAAGAACAGCTTCAAGAAGCGAAGCGAGTCCTCAGTTCTTTTCCAGAGCTTTAACAAGTTCTACTTTACCTGAGATACCATAGTTGCCTAATGTTTCGTGAAAGTAAAAACGAGTTTTCTGCAGCCTTGGTGATCTTAAAGTTGTTACTTTGAAAATTATACGTAATTTTGTTATATTACTCATTCATGAATTGCCTTTTAACCATAGTCTTTTTTTTATATGATCATAAAAATTTTCACATAAAGTAGTTCACTTGTAAGAATCAAATTATTGGAGCAGTTTAGCATTTTTTAAAACACTATCGGCATTCCAAATATGGCTTTCAATGTTACTTTAACTTGTTAATTCTGGTAGAAAGTTTTATTAAAATGTAGTACATGCAGTTTAAAGCAATGTTTTTGCTAGATACTTTGATCTAAAAGCCTCTGTGTCATAATCTGAAATCGGCTGTTACTTCGAATTAATCCAGTTATTTGTCTCATTTAATTAGCTTCTCTCCTTTTATTCGAGTAATCTGTTATTGTTGATATTGGCGATCTTTTATGGATTGTTGAAGAGATGTGAAATAAATTTATTTTTGTAAGAACTGAAAATATTTTTACAGCACGACACACAGATTTATTCACTTTATTATTAAGTTATCGGAACAGCAATTAAGGCTCGCGAATTGTTATATGGATTACTTGTTAAAACATGTAATTTTATGTTCGGGTCAATCGTTTATCTCATTTAGATCTGTTTCACCAACATGCTAAACTATAAATATTATGTGTATTTGGTATTAAGTTCCTATAATTTTTTACATAATTATACTCTCATGGTATATATAATTATGTGTGCGTAATCTTAATCTTTGCTTGGCATGCAGTGCATTTGTTGAAATGCGGCTTTTTCTAATGATTCACGATGGTTGGGATGAGCGATTCGAATCATTTCATATGCTCGCTGTCTTACATTTTTACCCCAAAGTTGAGCAATTCCATATTCGGTAACAATGTAACGAGCATGACCTCTTGTTGTTACTACACCTGCGCCCTGCAATGCATTTAACTAATTAACTTGGAAGATAGTGTCATTTACGTTTACTTAATTTTCTTGTAATAGTTTGTAGCATATAAATAAATGAGAGAAAAGCTAAATTATTTTGAATGCAATCTAAAAGGTATTTTCATTTCTGATTAACATGCCTGTTTAATAAAAGGTACAATTTTGGAAACACAGTTTTTGGTTGTTGATGTGATTGCAATGATTGCCTTTCCTTCATGATCATGTGATCTGCCAGCTCCATCAATGAAATCTACTTGACCACCGAAGCCTAAAGTACCCGCGTATTCACTTGTTGTTTTAAGACAGGAATTAGTTTGAAGAAAGCAAGAAATTTGCATTAAAACTAAAAGAATCTGCTCAATTACTCAAATTTGATGGCGATAAAAGTTTTAAATATAACATTTAAAAAATTATCAAAATGATAGCCTGAATAAAACATAGATCCAATTGAATCAGAAACAATTTGTCCAGTAATATCTATTTCGATCGCAGAATTTATAGCAGTCATTTTGCTTTGTCGTGCAATTACAGCAGGATCATTTGTGTAAGCCGAGCTACGGAATTCTGTCAAGTAATAATTTCTAGAAATACTGCAAATCTAATTTGAAAAATTCGTAATTTTATGAAAAATTTCAGCTCGTAAATCCAATTATTTAAAATATTATTTGTGAAAGATTTTGCAGATCAGACGATTAGATTAGGAAGGATTTTTTTTTGATTTTTTTATAAAAGCAAGGCAAAGTATTGACTTACCCACGATTGGATTATTATTTACAAAATCGTAAAATGCTTGAGTGCCATATGCAAACGATGTTACAATTTTTCCAGCATCAACAGTTTTTAAGCAATTTGTTATAATATTTTTCTTGAACAAATCAATGATACCATCACTAAGCAATTCAGTATGTACACCGAGATTCCGATGATTATTCAGTGCATGCAACACTGCTTCTGGAATCGTCCCAATACCTAGGTGAGAATGAAAAATATTCATAACTTTTCATCTCATAGTGCGCAAAATTTATTTTAAACAATTAGTCATACTAGTTTTACTTGTTTGTATAAATTGTTATCGAAAAATAAATTGTATCTGATTCCTAGCAAGTAATCATTTCTTAAATTTTTCCTTAGTATGCAAATGTCATGAGCAAAATCTTGATTATAAAATGTCATTTTAAGAATTTCATTCTAAATAAATACAGTTGAGGGAGACTTTAATTTATTAATCTTTCATTGACATTCGTACTTTGTAACTAACTCATAAGTAATTTGAAGTATTTATGCAGTAGTCAAATATTATCTAGAAAATATTTAAAACGAAGCAGCTAATAAATATTTATAAAGTTTTCTAAAGCTCAACAAAATGAATTAATACCTATTTGCAGCGTAGCACCGTCAGCGACCAATTCTTCAGCGATTATTCTACCAATTTTTTTTTCAGTATCATTTAATAATAGCATTTCATCTTCAGTACGCATATAAATTGGCTGTTTACTTTGTACTACTGCATTAAAATGTGAGATGTGAATTAGTGTATCACCGAATGTTCTTGGCATTGTACTCTTCTCTAATGCTAAAATTAATCCGTATTTGAAAAATCAAGCAAGTTTGATAATGATAGTAAAATGAAATAATTAAAAATATGGTTATGCATTATAAAATACTAACTTTATTAAGTTAATTTTGAAATGTTAATCTTAAAAGTGTCAATTATAAAATTTTTGTTCATGAAAAAAAAAGAGAATTTTATGAATAAAAGTTAAAACAAGTAAGCAAAATGAAACGACCTAAAATTCTCTGGCTGACTATTATTTGACTTGAGCTCGCATTTATCACTAATTAATTTGTACATTTTGCACACAGTAACCACATAATTCACAGTTTGCGTTTTAAAATTATTTACTAATTATTGATGCAAATTATAGTTTGAGTAACCCTTAGCACTGTATATCGAATTTTGATTAGACAAAAAATAGGAGAATGCATTAAAGCAAAGCTCATTTTTACTTTTAAAATAGCTAATAAGTGATCTTCATTAGTTTTTTGATTTTTTACACAGAAAATTTTGACTCATTTTGAGAGCATTTACCAATATACAAACAAACATGTATGTAAACTGGTTGTTGGTTTAGTTTTCCAAAAAAATGATAACCAATAATGGATTTAGCTGCTCGAACAGCTTCGTAAGATCCTTCACAAGTAATTCCAGTCGTACAAAATCCATGTTCATCGGGGGGAGATACTGTTATGATAGCAACATCAATCGGAATTTCAAAATGAGAAAACAGATATGGTAATTGTGAAAGAAATATTGGAGTGTAATCAGCATGCCCTGAATTTTACCTTATCGCTCAAAATATGATAAATTTGTGCTCACAATCATAAGTTATTATTTTTCAAGTATTTTTTATCTACAGTTTACTATCCACACATCTTAAATACTCAAAATCATTTATAGTTAGTTATTTGCCTATTGTTATCGATAAAATTTATTTTTCACCATTTATGGTGGAATAGTTAATATTATATTTTTTTATTGATTTACATGGTGTTATTGAAAAGCAATGGAAGTTTAACCTATGTTTTAGCTTACAATTGATTAACTCATTATTTTACCTTAAAGAATTCCAAGTGTTACATAATTTTTGTTGAAAAATGTAACAATTTTAGCGCTCTTTTTAAATTTAAAAAGTTTTGAATTAATAAGAAATAGCAAACTTATTTACTCATAGTTCGTGAACGTGTTTTATCATAGTATTTTTTCAAAACAGGTCTTATAAAATATCATTTTATGGTATCATTTTTATTGTGCTTTAAGAAGTAATGCGTACCTTGCTGCACCAGTGTGCGTAAATTATCTGATATGAAGAAGCAATTTGAACGTATTTTACCTGCAAATTCATACAATTTCATAAATTTATATTAAAAAAAAAAAACAAAACAAAACAAAGAGATCATTTTGACTTAATTAGAGTATATTTGCCATAGTTTATAGATATTCACTCATTAAATGCTATATGACTAAAAAATTTAGATCTAGAAAAAAATCAGATCTAAAAGGTCACTAGAAATTAAAATGACACAGTATAGAATTTCATGCCAATATAATTATGTGATAAGACTTTTATTTTGCTTGCTACATACTACAAATCTAGAAAACTATTATCTTTAATAAAATTCGTTATTCTACTTGCTCACTTTCTTTTAGAAATTTGTCAAATACCATGAAAGTATTCGGAAATCCAAGGCACTTCCCCGCATAAACCGATGTGGTGCAAATTCAAATTTTTAATGCTATTTATTCGAACATGGTTACACATGGCATGAAGTAATTCAGTTGGTGTTGATGCAAATGAGTGTACAAACAGATTGTATCCTGAAACTTTTAATCACTTACAAATACTTCTTAGTTAATGATAAAATAAGAGATTACTCTTAGAAAAACACTATGCAACTTTAGTGCTTTGATGTCAGTTATCCTATATTTGTTATTGCACATTTTTTTATTTAATTAATTTTTTTTAAATTAACAAAATTTTGCATATGAAAATTACCCAAACAATAGTGTACATAAATTATTAAGGATAATGACAAAGATATGATTACTATAATAGTATATTTTTCGTCCCAAAAATTAAAGTATGTGTTTTTTTAATAACAAATACTGTATGCAAATTAATTTAATCAAACCTATTTTAATAAGATTCATGGCGTCTTCAGCAGTTGTATAATTTGGTTTTTTATTTGCAATGGGCTGAGTAAGAGTACGCAGATTGCCTTTTGATATCTAAAATTTAGCATCACAACACCATCATAGATAATTATGCTAAATATTATTGATAACAGGTGATAAAGGCAAGAAAAATTAATTAAAGTTATTTATTATTCCTCAACATTACGCGTTTCCTCAACTAGTAAATAATCAGTATTCAAAATATGACAAATATATTTGTCATATTTTGAAAAATATCACTTAAATTGTAAAATAAAAGTGAAATTAAAAAGGCAAAGTAAAATGGGACAAAAGTAGGCATGAATTGCATATATTTTAAAGGATAAAGAAATATATTGGAATAAGTTATTGTCACTAAAGCCATAAAAAGTTAAAAAACCTGTGTATATTTCAATCGAGTTGAACAAAAATTTGCCAAAAGATTGAAAGGGCGCTTCATAATTTTATTTTCGAAAGAAATTTTATAATCTAAAATTTAAAAACTGAAATTAGATAGATAACAATCAGTAGTGTGCAATGGATTTTCTTTTTCATTATTCAAATCAAATTAGTAAAAGCTAAAAAAATCAAAAAAAAAAAAAAAAGAAAAAGAAGCACTGTAATGTGTTAAAAACTATTGCAGTTATCAAAACTTGAAAAATCATTAATTACATTGCTGCCAAAATAATTTAGATTTTTTGAAAATTTTGTGCGAAACGGAATCAAACAAAGTTTTTAAAATTTTTACAAGTTAAAAGCATAACGTAAGAAACTGATAAGTGAGTGAGCCCTTAAATAAACAAGGAGTACTGAAGCACTCTAATTTTTCACGATATCAGAATTTTTTATCATTTAAGCAAAATTAAAGTGCCAGTGAAAACGAAAGTATTAATGCATTATAATGATAACCATCATTAGCAGTGCAAGCAGTCTGTAAATCACTGATAACAATAAGTTTGCCATTATTACTATCCAACTGTTTTGCATTATCAGTGTTTATATATGATTGGAAAACAAAGCACAAATAAATAAGGCTTGAAATTTTTAAGCTCTATGGAATTACTAAAGGATAATACATTATTAAAACTAGATTAAAGACATGCTTATAACCAACAGTAAACCAGATCAGTGTGTAATGAAACTTTAAATTCATTTTCTGAGAGTAAAAATGGCTCTTATGAGTTTTCAGTTTGATTATTGTATATGCAAATTATACACGTGATATTAATGAAATACTTTCTACATGCTCTTGAAAATTAACCTGTCATTCATTCAATATTTATTGAAGATATACTATTTATGATAAAAATACTGAAGAACACCGATTCAATTAATTTATAATTAAACTGATTATGCTCCAAAATGCTTGAAACTATCAAACTTTTTTATGTAGTAATGAAAAAAATTCCTTAGCTTAAGCGCAAAAGAGATCCAAACATTCAATTTTTTAGCCTTTCAAAAATATCGCTACTAAAAATACAGTTAAATATTAATGTCGCAAATTATTGCTTCTTTCAGATTAGATATTTTTCGAAAATTTTTAAAAGTATTTAATTAAATATTAATTGAAAATTGCAAGCAGTTTGATGCAAAAATTGTACGGTTGATGAAACTTTAAAAATTTAGTACAAATTATATTTTATTTATTTTTAAATTTTCAAGGCAAGTCAAAAAGGAAAAGAGTAGAGTATCGTAAGAGAGAACTGTCACTTCATTAATATGCTAGTAAAGAGTAAAAAATTAGAAAATATCATTCTACTTCATTTTAAGTTTTCGGAAGATTTCATTATTTTCTATATTCTCTATTATTTACTCCTATTATTTTTATTATTTACTTTTATTATTTTTAAATAATGATAAGTAAAAATTTATCATTATTTTGTATGAGCAATTAAAAATTAGGAGAGGGAGATGTGAAATCAAGAAATCCAACGGAAATGCCAAGTTCGACAGCGCTAGCGTTGGATGGCGAGAAGTCTTCCATGCTGGTTTTTCTCTTGACTTTGGCAGCATTTCCAATGAGAAAAATACTTGAAGAAAAACTAAGACCACAAATACGATAGCATTCTACAAAATGTTTCACGTGTGGTACAAAGAATCCACTGAAAGATCGAAAATCACTAAATCCGTAATTTGTTGCAGAATCTGGCCCCAAACTCAGTAAATGCCAGTACCTAAAGCAAATTTATCAATTTATTAAATTAGTTAGAATTATGATTACTTGCTAACTTTGTTTGTGAACTATTTCAGTTATTTTCGCTAATTTTGCTTTTCGTTCTCAAAACATTGTAAAAGCTATTTCTTTTTTGTTCAAAATACATTTATTAATATCATTTTTCAGTTTTACTTTTTGTTTACACTTTTTTCACAGTATCAATTTCATATTGGCATATTTTTTTATCACCACGTGTACTTCTACTAAAGTTTATCATAACTTGCTTGAAATAAAAACCAAAAATTTTACCATAAATGAGCTTTCTGCTGATTTGCCCAACTAGACCATCCACCTGTTATCTGATACCAATCGTACCAACTAGTATAAATCCCAACGTTAACATTGCTTAACTGTAAAGTTCGATACCATTTTTTCTATTGCATACATTTATTTTACGATGATATTTACAATTTCTTTTGGGATATTATTTATTTTGAACCATTTTAGTTACAGCGAGATCACTGATAAGTTTTTATTTTAACTCTAAATTATACGAGATGAGACAATGAATGAGTAAATAAATAAATAAATAGAATAGAATAAAATAAAATCATACCTGAGCGTAAGTGAGATATGTATTAATGAAATTAATATTTGTAGTTATATCATTATACCACACATTTGGTGATGTCACCTAAAGTATTGGAAAATTTAAGGGAGCATAATTCACTGAATTTTATACGCAACTTATCCAGTCATCAATTACATGCGTAGTCAAAAAAATAAAACCTTTCAATTTCCATTGCATTTGCATGAAATGCAAATATTTTAATAAAACATGTATTCAATGAATTTGTATAGAAAATTTAAGCAAAAAATGACTCTACCTTGAGCCAGATTGTATTAACAATGATATCATTATTGATGAGAAATCTGTAAACTTCCAAAAATTGTTCATTAGCATACTTTGTTGACTTAACCTGTGGTTCGACAAATATTTCAACGCCCAAATTTGCTGCAATTGTGCACATTGTGTTTTATTGAAAATCTTAATTAATTATCATCAAAAAGTTATGATAATACACTATACATTTTATCAATAAATCATTAATTTTACTTTTATTACAAATCACACTTTCTTTATCAGCTTTATGGATTATTTTCATCTCAACAATAAACTTGCAAATTTTATTTGAAGAAAAATTGGAAAAATTAGATAATAAGACAAAGAAAATATATGACATGTTAACACTGATTGAAAATAAGACAGTGGTGATGAAGTGAGAAAAACGATACCAGTATTTGCATTTTTAATATTTGCGATTGCATTTAAGTCCGGCATTCCTCTCTCTTTAGCTTCGTACACTCTAATAAATACAACTAAAATACCATTTGAACGTAAGCATTGATAAATGTCCAAATCGTAATATTCAGAAATGTGAACTGCTTGACCGTATCCTTCCGATAAAATCTCAGAACTAAGATATTGCTAAAACTTAGAAGTTTAAAAAATAAATTTAAATCAATCATTCTACTGCAATAATTAAGAATATAGGCAAGTTTAACAGCAATATCTTTGTTAATTTGTATGGCTTTATCCTCAATAACCAACCATTTGTAAAATAATTTTGAATTTGTATTCCATGAAAAAAAATTCTAAGAGATGCTGCAATTCTGTGCATATTAAATTTTTCAGTTATCCATTTAATTATGAATACTTGCACAATTATTTTTGTATGCATATATCAATGGTAAAATGTATTTTATTCTTAAAACATTTAAAAATTTTTGTTATCTATTCTTTGATAATCTTGCCATATTTAAACTTTGATCAGCTGCAAAAAATCTTATTTGTCAGAAAATTTAAATAATTGCTCAGCATAAAAAAATTTCTGTAGAAAATAATTGAATATAATATTATTATTACCTTGGATAAATATGCTGGTTTATCACAAAATGAAGATGCAAATATTAATTGCGGCAATGCAACCAAAATAATAGCATAAATGTTTGCTATATTTGTATGAATTTTCATATTTTCAACAAATAGTTACCAATATCGAAATGTGATATGATTTAATGCAAAAACTTGCGAAAATTTGGTATGAATGATTAATTATTGAGTGCTTTATATATAATACTGATAAGGTTCTGAGAATTTCCGTTTCTTAGCTGGTGCATATCAACTGATAACGCATTTTATGCCGCTTAATCATATTTACTAACGAAATAAATAAAAAATAAGTCACTCTGACTTCATACTCTCATAAAAGTAATCGGAAATAGAATAGAAGATTTTATTTCTCAAAAAAAATGCCAATATTTGAAGTTTTTAATAAAAACAGCTATTATTCAAAGGGTTGAAGAAAATAACTATTCTCATCATTCAACTCAAACAGAAAACTTTATGGCACTACTTTTGGAAAAAAATTGAAAAGTTCCGATTTAAGGACATTTATTAAAAAATCATTTATTATATTCAGCATTATACTAATTTTATCTTATTATTTTCAGTAAGTACAATGATGGCAATATTGCAAATCAGCTAAATTTAAAATTAAATCGTTTGCTTTAAATGAGAAGTTGTTTAGTAATTTTATGCCGTCATTGTACTTACTGAAAATAATTTCAGATCAGAATTGTTCAAAAAAGCTGTTAATATATCGAAGTTGAGCTTATCCTTGTTTTTTACTTCTGCTTTGATAGGAACAAAAGTGATATATTGAAAATCTTTATAACTAAAAGGTTGGTGAATTACGAATACGAATATTGAATATTGAGGGATTATTTTAAAAAGAATTAATAAGCGGTAACGTGGAAATAAAACCGAAAGACTTTATTCAAAAATAAGGTAAAAGGTGAAATCAGTTTTGATTTACCTCATAAACAACTTGAATAGTCATTGACTTTCTTGATTTTGAACTTCCAACATTTAAGAATGAAGAAGAGATTCCAACTTGGTCAAAAAATTGTGTGATAAATTTTACTGGAAAAATTATTTCATTATGTATAGTTTTCAAATAAAATATGATTTGAAATATTACCTCAGCAACATGCATAATTAAACTTTCATTCTATATGAAATGTTTACAAAGCCTAAAGAATTTGCATGCAAAAATAATTGTTCAGAATCATATACTTAAGTATTGATTCATATTTCTACGTTCCATCACTACTTGAATTTAAAACTATTTATTTGCTTTGTTTTATTTTTGAACACTTATA